GCCTGGCACAAAATACAGGACACACTGATCACTGTCTTCAAGGGCTCGGAAAGAATTTAATGCTAACTGAAGTTAATTCTGGACTCCTTGTTTAGACAGAGAGGATGAAGGAAGAGACAGAGTGAGAGCGCCAGGGGAGAAACTGATTTCCCGTCATTTCATTTCATTATTACCAGAATCAAATAAGCAAAAAACTCACGCATCAGGCTTTTATAATCATGAGGTCTGAAAATGAATGAATACATTGGATTACTTTGTACTGACCTGGCTTCAGAGCCTTTATGGTGATAGAATTGCAGACTTCTTTTGGAGACTATTGATGTCAGAACTTGCCTTTGACTCATGCAAGCAAGAAAAAAAAATCTCCCCTAACCATAAGATTCCACAGCTGGGTCTTTAAACAAAATGTCTACTCAGTACAATTCTACTCTCATCATTGTCTCATGAGGTTTGAAAATGAGTTCCCATTAAGCAGGGGGTCAGAATTAGACACAGGAGAGTTAAACTAAAATCCAGCCACACAGAGTGATGTTTTTGGTGTTGGTACTCAAAATAGACTTCACAGCACATGTCACCATAGTTCTGTGTTTAATTTTCTCCTGTTAACTATCTAGACTCAAATTATTTTATGAAGTAGACTGAATGGAAATAGAGGGTACCTTTGGTCAGCTGTGATTGATCACAAGACAGGCTGTAACCTACGGACATAGGTTACTCAAGCAGTATGGCTATGAAGGTCCCAGATCAAAGTCCTGATGTTGAAGCAGGTGATGAGCCACCTAAAATTTGGGATATGTTAATGGTTTTGACTATGTAACAGTAGAATGGCCTTCTATATTTTTTTATGCTGAAACCCAGCCAGCCTGTTACCAGCATGATATAATCCAGCAGCATCTAATCGACTGCTGCCACCCTCTGCCTTCCCCCACCCTCAACACTGGCGGATATGTCAAAGTAAAAACATCTCTGCATTTCTGATCTCCCTGGGGTCACATCTGGTTTGAGTAAGGCTTCTCATTTGGTTCCAATCCACCGATTTCCTGCTACTGTCCATGAAAAAGAGAGTGCGACTCTGTGGCTTCCCCTGGGTGTAATGGTCTAATCTGTACCTTGTTGTGCACTGTAGAGGGGAGGGGGAACCACTGCTACTTGGGACCAGATCCCTCTTCCCGTATGATTGCATCCTGTTCTTATGCAAAGCACCTTTATTCTTGCTAGCAGTGGCAGCCCCAGATGTCCTGGTGCCCTCCTTGTATCATCCATATTCCTCCGGCCTCCTAATTGAATCCTTCCCTGGCTGGAACAGGCTTTCCTCATTACAACGAGCTGGATCCAATTCTTCTCCTTCCCCTCTGTCTCCCAGCTTTTCCTTGCGAACACAGGGCAGCCCCAACAGAGCTTCTGTGGGTGGATGACCGCACCAGTGAACTGTTCTTACTGCTACTGTAATGTTCTCATGAGGTTAACAGAGCAGGAAAGCTCTAGACAGGTGCAAGGTGGTAAAGGCATCTACTCTGCCAAGATTCTGGCAATATCAAGATTCAGGTTAGCTCCAATAAATAATACCTAGTTCTTTTAATCTAGGGCTTTCAGAACTATTTATCTAAAACATCATGGGTTTGCAGCTGGTGAAGTAGCCTAAAAGTTTTCACAAGAACAGTGACAGAGCCCAAGAGTTGAATGGCTCTTTTACATTCTCATCCAACAGAATGCCCTCAGTAGGAGGTCAGTATCTGTGGGCAATATTTTGCTCATGCACTGAACAAGGCATAAAACAGAATACATGATCTTTTTCCACTCATCTAGTCAAACATCCGAGTATTGGGGAAAATTGTTCAGTTCCCTTACTTTATTTATCCTCTTATTCCAAGATGGATTACCTTATGTTGCACCACACAGCACACATACAAATACCCAAGGTTTCTATGAACGCTCTCATAAAATGGTTTGGGTTGGAAGCGACCCTAAGATCATTCAGTTCCAACCCCCTTGTCATGGACAGGGACACCTCATACTAAACCATGTCACCCAAGGCTCTGTCCAACCTGGCCTTGAACACTGCCAGGGATGGAGCATTTACCACTTGTTTTACATTCTGGAAGCAGGAGCAACACAGCAGTATTACCACACTTAAAATGATTTTGCCATAATTAAGTTGTGTTAGCACAGGCAGAGCACCATACTCTGTGTTCTCACTTTAACTGGCTTGTTTGGAGCTAGTTAGGTTCTTATTGCATGGACTGCACCAGGGCATGCAGGAAGAGCCAAGCTTACATCAAGGCAAGTAAGCTCAGGTAAACTGAGGCACAAATAGATTAGCTGTACTGACATCAAGGCAAGTTCAAGAGCATTTGGAGAAGACCTACTGCTGCAGATTTCCCAGTGCCACCACTAATCCACACTTCTGCTGCATCTCATACACCTGGATTTCATCAGAGCCTGGGTATTATTAAACAAAAAAAAACCAAAAAAAAACAAAACAAAAACCAAATCTTTGGAAAACAAGATCCCCCAAACCTACCAGAACAAAACCTCCAATCCAGAAGGCTTTTCAGCATCTTGGGGAGTGAGAGATGCTATTACCATTGCTAGAAAGGCTCTAAAGGCAACAGCACAAGGAATGATCTGTAGGGTGCAAGTATGCTTGTTATGAAATAATTTGGATCCACAGAGGAATTCCATATGTGGCTTCCCCTCTGGTGAGTAGAGGTTCCCACCTTGGCAGTGATCCTGGAGTCCCATGCCTACAGGCTCAGCAGCATTGAAGGGGAGTGTGGACGCTGGAGGAGTAATGGGATCATCAGCCGCTGAGGCTGCTGCTTGGCACGCCAACAATGTTTGTTTGCACCTCTTTGAAGATGAGAGATGAAAGTGGCGCCCACATGGGCTGCCTTTGATTAGCTTCTTATTTTTAACATTGCAGCTGCGATTATTTTTCTTTTTCTTGAAGCATTTCTTCGCCAGCACCAGAAACTGAGGTTCCCTTCTCTAGGGAGGTTCAACTTCAAGGAAACATAACAAAGAGAAGTGTGAACGTAAAGGAGACTGGACAACTCGGGGCCAGTGGGGAATTATGTCATTTTATTTTTAATTTTACTTCCATTTTTTTCCCCAATCCCCCATCCTCAGTGGGTCTCCGAAAGAAAATACTTGTTTACTTCTTTTTTAATAGGGAAAATAAATGAGTCCTGGGATTGTACAGAGCTGTCATGAAGAGGAAAATGTCTAATGGTTCAATTCCCAGCTCTGTCACTGAACCACTCTGGGACTTGGGGAGAAGTCAGTTCGCCCATCTGTAAAATGGGATTTATAATGCGTTGCTTCTCAGGGGGACTGAAGGAGTATGAGTAGCATTGATGGAATGCTCCGTGCACCTTGGATAGAAGGGGCAATAGCCCTGTGAAGTGCTGTCCTTAATAGATACTTAGAGGAGTTTCCTTCACTGTGGTACTTATCTGACCACAGCAGCCAAGTGCCTCACAGCTACTGATGGATATTTTTTTCCTATTACCTCTCTGCATCATAGGCATGTTGCACAGGAAAGCAAGGCAAATGGCAAACTGAATGAAATGGACCCAGTTACATAGAGAATATGTAGTAAAGTCAGGATTAATCCTTTATTGCCTAAATTTCTGCCACATCCATTAGACTTTGCTCTTAGCCCTGTGGATTTTGTGATCTGAAAGCATGAGGGAAAGCTACCTTCCCTTCTTCCTACACTGGTCAGTCACACTCTGGCTGTCTTCCTGCTGCATAAGGAGCAAATGGTCTGAAAAGGGAGTCAATGCTTATTATGCAATAGGCTATTTACTATCATAACATTTGTGTTTCTTTCACCTGCCAAGAGTCACTTTCAGCCAGGCATTTGGTGAGATGTTAATCCAGTTCTCCACAGTGAATGTTCTAGCTTTAGCAGGATGATGTCCAGAAAAAGTTTAGCCTGCTCCTTCTTTTCAGGACAAAGGTGGTAGAAGACCTACAGATACAAGTGACACCAGCTCAGGTTTAACTTTGGTCAGAGGGCATTAGGAAACACTAAGGCAGAACACGATAGCTGCAATGCCAACTAACAAAATGGAAAAAGTTGGAGTGGGGATAAGAGTAACAGCCACAGATAAATAGCAGTCAGGTTCCTGATACTCACACACTTCAAAAGAGACAACTACATGTTTATTTGTTATCTACCAAGATATTTACCAGCTAAAGAGAAATGGAGGCACATGGCCTGGGTTAAGAAAACAAAATGCAGCATGTGTACAGAAATCCAACCAACTCTGAGAGCAAAACCTGTCTCCACCAAAGTACCTGCTAAACCCTCTAACAAACACTTGAGGCACTTGGCAGGGCCAGTCCAAAGAGCTTATACTAATCTAGTCAAAGCATGGAATTTACCCAGATCTCTTTGTCTTTATGGCATTTCACCTGCTCCCAGGAAGAGTCGGTCACTTGTTCCAGCCCAGGGCACCATCCAGCTAATCCCAATGCCCAAGCACCATCCTGCTCAACCCAGCTCCTCAGGAAGGCTTAAGCCAGTCCTATAGGCTCTTCTCAAGCATATTATAAAGAGATATACTGTACAGGATAGCTTATAACATACATTTACTTCAGATTCACTCAGAGAAACAACATACTCCAGCCCAACTCCATCCAGTCACACAGACTCCAGGACATTAAATTAACTCCCTGCCAAATTTACTGCAAGCCATCTGACCATACCATTTAGCCACAGTAAAGACAAAATCTATATGTAGCTACAGTCAGGAAAGCAGGCAACTCTGTTGAAAACCTATTTATATCACTCAAGAGGATCAATGGAGAGCCCAGGCCTGGAGGCCACTGACCTTGGATTGACACAAAACTTAAAGGGAAAAATTAATGGTGTCAACTCAAGAGACCACAGCTCTTATTTCAGAGGATTCTGCAGCCAGCCCTGCGGCTCGCTGATCACAGAAAGGTGCTTAAGGAGGGATCCATTTTTAGGACACAGAGCAAATACTCACCCATTGCTGGTGCAGGAGCTGCTTCCCCAGACACCCCGATGGTTGCCAGCAGCACACAGCAGGTCCTTGGCAGCAGCTGAACCTCCCCAGGTCCGTGCCAGACGCCACCAGATGATGGAGGACACAAGCAGTGGGGCTTCTGGAAGAAGTTTCTCCTCAGGATGTCCTGAAATGAGGCTGTGGCCAGTCTTCCATGGGCTGTCTCCACAAGATCCTCGCTCAGGGGCTTTCTGCCCAAGGAAAGGTGAAGACAGCACGAGGGGAAGGCAGGACACTTGTCCAAGGAATCTTCAGGCCGAGGGTTTCTCAGTTCTGCCTCAGCTCCTCCTCAGCTACAGCAGCCCAAGGCAGCAACAACCCCTGAGGACCCACGCAGGCCTCTGACAGCCACAAAATGGCTGCTGGTGGGGGAGAGGCTGCCCCCTCCCCGCCTTACTGAGGTACCAGCACTTCACTGTGGAGGTAACAAGGCCAGCGCCTGCTGCACGGACAACGAGGCAAGGCTTCCATAACAGAACACCAACCCTCGTGTTGTGCCACCAGCTCCTGCTGCTCCGGCAAAAATTGGGGAGGAACGGTGACTGCTGCAGCCCACCAACAGGCACCTCAGCCTCACACAGACCCTGAGGAGACACCGACCCACCAGACACAACACTGGCTGCTGAATAAACCCCTCCATGGTGTAAACCCCAGCCATGCTGAGGTAAAACTCCCAGGAAGGGATTTTAAAGGGGGAAGAAAAGCCCCCACCCTGCCCCAGCTGGTGCTGGTTTAGAGACATCATCTGAAATGGGATTTGCCTCACCTGGGATGGCTGTGAGGTAAGCCCTGGAGAAAAGGAACACGTTTATTCATGTATTTTGCTGTTTATTCTTCAATTAAAAAAGACAAACATAAAGTCCTGGAAAGAACAGTTCCAGGCAGGGTGATGTTCAGTGGATGTTAGAGACAGGTTTTAGGTTTGGAGCAGCCACTGGCTGCTGTGCAGTGCTGGACATGGTAGGGTGCCTCTGCTGCCATTAACACCTCTCACTTAGAATCATAGAATAGTTAGGGTTGGAAAGGACCTTAAGATCATCTAGTTCCAACCCTCCTGCCATGGGGGTTCATGTTAATACAACCAGCTTTAGCCTAGACCTTATTTTCGGCTAGACAGGGCTGGCACACCAGGGCTGTGCTCTCTAACACAGCCATGCAGGCCCACTGAGGTGCAAGTGACAGCAGCACGGCCATGCTCAGAGCTTTCATTTGCTATGAGACTTTTCTTTTTCATTATTATTCTGATTTTCATCACTTTATTTTTGCCCTGGGAGAGCCAGGAGGCTGCTCCCCCAGCCCAGGACCAGTAGCTCCCAGTCAATGTCCAACCCCAACGTGTGCAGCTCTTTCAGCAGAGCTGGCTGCCACATTGTGGCCCGCTCCCCCGAACGCCCCATCTGGCTGATGTAAAACACACATGTTTTGACTGAAGCTTTTTCTTTAAAATGCCAACATTAAAGGAAGGTTTGCTTTGTAAAACTGAAACTGTAAAACTCTTCTGAAACCCAATCTGGGGGATTAAAAGAACCACATGAAAAGGGATAAATATGACCTGGACATTTACTTCCTGTGCAGAAGTTCGCTCAACATGTGCCTCCCAGCCTGTCAGTGCAAAACAAGACCTTCTGCTCGAATCTGCAGAAGGGGAGGAAAAGAAAGGAGAAGAAAAGAGGAAGACAGGAAATTTTGTCAACTGACAACTCTTTTCTATCCCATGGCTCATGGCAGAGGCATTGGTTTCTTTACAGGGGCATCTCGAGCACTTTAAGATACATAAAGCATCTTAACCAGATGCTTTCTGGTTAAGAAACTTAACCAGTATCTGACCAGAAAGATATACAACTAGTAATAAGAAGTCTAGCATTCATAGGTAAGCTCTTCTTAATCATACTGCATGGTGTAAAATTGGGCTTGATCCATCTTTAACTGGGAGTCAGTGGCAGAACTCCTTTGGATTTCAGTGGGAATAAGATCAGACCTAAAGATATGATGGACCGAGTCCAAGGATTCTCTGATGATGTGCAGAAGAAACACATGGATAGATAAACAGATCTTCAGTTAGTCAGAAAATGGCTCACTTTCAAACAAACTGATGCAAGATGTTTATATCACTATTGCCCATTTCAACTATTAAAGCTGGGTTCCAAAAAAAACCAAGTTTACTTAAATATTATGAGACTTGAATGAAAAAGGTTACAGATTCTCTGTATTTGCTTCCTGAATGTTGCATCTTTAAGAAGATGGAGCATCTCTTCTGGTTTTCTTTACAAATAGTGAACTGCTGGAAGCTTGATCTTTTTTAACCGAAGCTGACGTTGTGATTTATTATAGTATGATTTCAGAAGATCAGACTTAGGGGAAAAAAAACCCAACATAGAAGAGCAGGCAATAGATTAAAGTCACAAGTGTTCTCAAAATAGCTTTGTGATCTAAGGTGCCAATATATGAACTGCAGAGGATAAAATGCAATATAATGTAAAATCTGGCATTGCCATTCTGTGTTGGGGAAAAAAAAACCTTTTTCCCAGTCAAGTTCTTTAGAAGCCAGTTACTAATTTAGCATTTCATCTTCCCTTTGCCCCCCCATGCTGTGAAATTACACTGATAGTGGCTTTAGTTGCCCAACAGTCATAATTTGGAGAAACACAACTGAAATACATAGGGAGCACAGACACACTTCCAACAGCAAACACTGGAACTCCACACCTGCGATGTTGTGGGGCACCTTCTTGCACCACTGGCTTGTAACTGCTGCAGTAGCTGACCCTGTGGTCACATGCAGGATGCAGCTTGAATCTGAGTTTGACATTCCCTGTAGCTTGGGGTGGATCAGGAGTTTGCTCAGTCCCACTATTGTTTGAGTGTTTTGGTGGTTTGGTTGGTTGTTACGTCTCGATTGCAATTGGTATTCTTGGCTAATGCTCCCTGTCCCCTGTGTGAGATGCAGAAACCCAATAATCCCACACCATAGCACATCTCTTTCCAAATATCCTCTCATCTTAACTGGGTTTCATCTTTGAGATGGGAAGTTCATCTCTTCTGCTTGCAGCCTGGGTTGTCTAATTCCTATTGAAGCCTTTCATAACCTCTGCTATTGCATAAAGCTGGTAAAATAAAACACCTTCTGCTGGTCAAATTTAAACAAACACTTTTATAGTTTCAAGCCAGAATCAAGCAACAGAAAGGTGCATTTCAAAGTCATTGTTCAATGGAGAAAGACCCATTCCCAAGTTCTTCCCAAATCCAAAGTGGACAGTTCCTCAGTGATTTCCAAGCCGGAAAGAGGCCATTTTATGAGCCAGAAAGCATCCATTTTCTGCGTCAGTCCTGAGCCAGAGAGGGTAGTGTCTGAGTCAGTTCCAGGGGGGAAACGTCTGGCACTTCTCCAAGCTTGGGAGTGTTGCTATCACAGCAATTGTTTGGTGATGCCATCCCAATAAAGCTTCATTATGGCGTTCCTCTTTCCATAAACTTCAGTGCCCTCCAGTGTCCCCAGCAATCACTTATCTAATATTAGGATATTAAAAAATATGGAAAGATTTTAAAGAGACTTATTAAAATGCAATTAGCGGCGCATACGACTTAAGCAGTGAGATTACTTAAAAAAACAAGTTGATTGTGTGGAATGCCACGCACCTTACCCAGATAATAAAGCTGTCAGTCAAGCCCAGCTTCAAATGAGGAAATTTTCATTCCCTTTTTACAGCCCCCTAAGTGAAGATTAAAACTGATTATTAACCTCGGAGTGTAGCAGCGGCCCCTAAGCCTGCAAGCTCGGAAAGGAAGGTTTCATAACTGTTGGTAGCCTGGGCTTCATTCCCCATTTGGCCTGAGAGCTCTGTGCTTATTTAAAGGGACAGTGCTGAGCCCTTGAATCAAGATATCTGAAAAGCGTGGATGGGTCCTCGAAAGGGGCTAAGCTCCAGATCTTGACATTGCAACTTGGGAGGCCTGTAATGACCCTGCCTCGATAGGACAGAGCCGTTCTGCCATCAATAAACTGCAGGTAAGGCTGCCCCCTCATGTCCGATCTGGGAATCTCAGCAAGTCCTTAAACTCCAGCACATAACCTTCGTTTTGTCCAAGTGAGAACGTGTGGATTAAAGGAGTGTTTATATGGGAACAGGTACCTTTGTCATACTCATGCTGCTGAGCATAGATTCTCAGTGTACGTTATTATTCTCAGTTTCTGTTATGACTTCCCTTGCTAAATGTAGAACCATGGCATTTACCTTGCTGCCTTTTCATTTATTGTTTGTCCTGCTGAGACAACCAAGTGTGACACTTCCTGCTGTTTGATTTCCTGGCATTTTTATTTCATTTATAAAACGGATCTTTCCCTGAGAAATTAAGTCACATTTCCCTGACAGGTTACTCCTTTTGCAGCTCTTTACTCTGCTGTCAAAGTGGATTTATTGATGCTTCCTGGATTTCTCCCCTCAAGCTCGCAAACTGGAAATGATGAATTCTCTGGAAGGCAGCAAGCTAATTCTTGACTTGAATGCTTTATTTGGGGATAAATGCAATGATTCAAAGGGAGTTGCTTAAGAGAGGGTAGTCACTGATTCTGATTCCAAAGCTATTTTAGCATGTATTTAAGTATGTGCTTAGTTTACATTTGCTGATCTCTTTGGGACCACGCACAGGCCTTAAGGTATGTAGTTGGGCACTTTAGCATACTGGTGCCAGGCTGCTCTGCAGGAATGAGAGTCCAGACACTATCTAAACAGGGAGAATGTCACTGAGTTTTGAAGCATCTAGGATAGAAGTTATTTTACCAGCACATGCATCTCATGACTGTAGCTCCCTCTGGAATCTAGCTATGGCACCTGGACCTATTTAGGATTCGCATGGAAGCTATCCACACATTTTTTCAAAGTAAATAATCTGCCTGGCTAGGATGATGGGGGTTAGGAGGATGACAAATGGGGTTTACAAAATGTCAGCAAGAGCCAGGCTTTAAGTCTGGAATGAGTCACAAAGTGAAACAAGTTTAGTGACCAGGGTTCACCCTTGATCTTGAATTGGTATTTGTCTACATCACTGAATAACCACAAGTGATCCAGTATAATTTAGCATAACTGACAGTCCAGCGTCAGCAATATTATTGAGGTGGAGGAAGGGAAAAGATGTTGCTGCCTCTTTAGTCATGCCACAGTTAATGAGAAGTGCTGAAGCAACAGAGGCCACAGAGGTGGCATTAAGTTCCCCAGGTCTCTGGGCTGGAAAGCAGCGTCTCCAGCACACAGAAT